CCCTGTGCCTGGATTCTGCAGCTCACATGTGCGGTCAGCACCCCAAAAAGATCAGAGTCTAATTTCTTCTGACATATATTCCCCCTGTATGCTTGGGCTGGAACTTTTACCTATCTTGTAGAAATGTGAACTGTGCCATTCCACAGGGCTCTTCTCAGGATTAGTTGCACCAAATCTCTGTAGAGTTCTGTTGCTGTGGTGAACACTAAGCAGTACAAACTGGGGAAACACCGTTGGTCAAAGGTGCAAGAAAAAGATTTACTGATGATGACAGTTCATTTAGGAACACTGTTAGATAACGTGAAACATGTCAGTGGGGAACATGAATTCCAAGAACTCCACTTGCACATTTTCTGATCACAGCAGCTGAGGAAAAAAATGTATCAAATGCTAAAATAGATTAACATTTGCTTTACAGGCCTATGATGAAATGCTAAGTACAGTATTCCGCTGTTAAGGGATTGCCTGTGACATACATCATCCATCTGAGGTTGAGCAACTGCCCTCATATTCTGCCATCAGCCAAGGGTGGCGTATTCCTGGAGGCTTGGTGCTTCTGTCATGACAGTTTCCTAGAAGCCCTTTCCTGGGCAGAGACTTTACCAAGCCAGCCTGAACATTAAGGCACTCCACAAAGTGTTTTGGGTTTAAACCCTTCTGGAGAAAAGAGAGAAGCCAGTGTTGACTTGCCTTGAGATCAGGTGCCTGGTAACTGAGAAACGGGTGGACATAGGTTCCTGTCACTCCAGGTTTGGGTGATCTAACCCCAAATATTTTTCTCGGGTGACTTTGTCTATAAGACCTCCCATCGGGATGGCCAACACAAAAATTTCTGGGAAATTCAATATATGCTGAGGGGAGGAAAAGCAGAGGGGTGGGCCAGATTTAGTCACAAGGAAACGCAGTACTTTCAGAAACACATAAATTGCACAGTTTGGCAATGACAAGGCTGCTACTAGACGAAAATAACTTCACAAGCAATATGTGAAAGAAATGAAGGTGATTGGAGTGATCAGCAAAAAGTCAGCATAGAATCAAGAAGAGAAAATAGGGCAGAAGCCACTGCAAACAATTACCTGTCTGAAAAATCAGATTAATCTGAGCAAATAGTCAGCCAGTTCCCCTGGGTCGCTATAACATTTAACAGCAGTACCAGGCCTTCACCAGATAAGTACAACGAAGGGAAGCATACATCAGAAAGAGTTACTCAATAGCCTATTCCTGAACAATGGTCTACTGATGATGATAAAATCTGGAATTTTGTCCATCATGGGAAGTATGACGGTGTGAGAGACAGAACAGAGAAATGGTCTACAGAGCAGAGGTTTTATTTCTATTTCCATTGCAGGCCTGCAGGGTGACTGCATGCTCTGACTCAGTTTCCCCACAAGCAAAGTGTATAGAAGCCTTGCACTTTGAGTCACAAGAGTAGTCCCAACAAGCTGGTTCAAAAAGTGAAAAAGCCTCTGAAAAAGTATACTGGAAAAATTTCATCAGTTTCTTGAAAACACGACCCAGTTCACAGACTCCCCTTTTCAGGAGGTGTTCTGATATCTGAGGAAAGGGAATGGGAAAGTCAATATAGCACAAACATACCTGTGAATTAAGCTGTTTGGGGACAGATGCAGGCAAGTTGCAGTATCACGGACCTCCGCGCTGGCTATTTAATCCCCAAGCGATGTGTGTTCTGCACAGCAGCCTCCTATGCAGACACAGCCAAATTCCAGGAACAGGTTTTAAGGTTGCCTTGAGCATACAGCTGACTATTCACACTCCTTCCCAGTATCCTTAGCATGGAGGTGTGTGAGAAGGCATCTCAAAAGTAGGTGGAGGTTTTTCTAGAGAACGCTTCCCTCCAGCAATTGCTGGCAGAGGAACAGACTGTGACGCTGTTGCAAGATGGAGGAAACGATAGCAACCCCTGTAGCTATTATTTGCTGCCATTAACGACATGGGCGATGGGTGGAAAGGTAATGGAAAGGCAATGCCATCTCCATGCCCTGCTTTCAAGTGCATAGCCTGAAAATCCAGCCTGATGTTTATATAGTGTTTTCAACCTGTAATCTACTAAATGCTGCCATTAAATAATTGTGCTTAAGGTTATAACTGCTTTTAAATTGTACAGTTTAACACAGAGCATTAGAATTGACAAACACCATTCCCCATTGAGTAAGTAACCGAACCTAAGCCTGGGGGCTAAGAGCTGGAAGAGCACCCAATGGTTCTGGAGGGGATGAAACCCAGAAAGGAGGAGTATTTTATTGGCATCTGGGGAAGAAAAGGGGAGAAAAATGAAAGGCAGCCATGGAGGGGCCTAAAACATGTTTATTTTACACAGGCTGTGCTTTTGTGTTTGGCAGGTATTTCCCTTAAGGTAAGGAAGTCTGTCATGAAGCGGCAAAAGGACTGTCATTTTACTGGCATAGCAAAGTTTGGGGCAATGAGCCATGCCGGTATGTGTGGGCACCCTCACCTAGAGAAATAGCTTCCAGTGTGGGGT